TTCCGGCACGGAAGCACCATCTTGGACCATATTCGGCGTTGAGAAGCATTCCAGACCGGAACGTCGGTACTCCAAGCAGGAATAATCGTTTGGGCTGCCGTACTCGGACTTGGAGACGAAGCAGAGTCGCATAGTGTTCCACCTGGACCGTTTGGGCACTGTTGGCCAACAATGGAGTCCGGATGCACGGAGAGAGATGACTCGTTATTGGCAGGAGACCCAAGGCTGTGGCTCCTGGCGACACCTTGTTGCAGAGCTTCCCGGTCGAAGTAGAAATGACGTTGATGTGTCTCACATACTGACATCCATACTTTGGGACTTGGGAGAGTTGCGAGGTGGTACAGAGAGGGCGTTCGACCATACCAAGGCAATAGGCCTTTTGTGGTAAATGCGATCGACCAACACCATTGCTGTTGGGCTCATGCATAGCTCCAGGAGGCTGGCTGAAGGGATAGAACCGGCATGAGACGACAAGCCGCGGCGCCGATTCCGATCGTTTGCCCTCCGGACAGATGTGTAGCGTCTTGCGGTAGACCAGGCCCAACACCTAGCCGGGTGCAGATTGCTTTCGGAGTTGAGTAATGGTGGAGGGTACTCCGGCACTGGGCAGAGAATACATCCTGCCGTGGGTCTTAGTAGCCAAGCCATCAAAATCTATTTCCGTGAGGGACTACGGATAGGATTTACGATGGCCGTTTGTCTTCTGCTAGTGATTAGTCGCGTTTCGTTCCCTTTTCTTCTATTGGGGAGAGGACCGTTGGGGATCAGCATGCCGCTAGGCACGAAGACAAGCATCGCAAGCTAAGGTCGTGTCAAGCAAGGTAAGCTGTTCCCCGAAAGGTAAAGTGCGAGATGGAAAAGGAGAAGGGCGTGAAGCGGGGTGTGAAATCTGGCGATGTGCTGCGATGACAGGATTCGACCCCCGTGTGTCCGGCTTCGTCAAGTGAAGCCAAGATGAGTGAGTGATTTCGAGATGAGGAGGCTCAGTCCCGATGCGGTGAGATGAGTAGTTGGACAAGGTGAGTAAACACGTCCAGTGAAGGTGAGCGCCGGCCGGGAAAGGATTGTCCTTGTTTCCGAGAGCCTGGGCTTGGTGCCCTCCCCCACCATCTCTTCCTCCCCTCCTTCCCTCCGTATTTTGGGTTTTGGGCGCCGGGAGGATGCGACAGTGCCCTGGGCTCGTACAACATAAGTTATCTTAGGCGCTGTGAGTCGATAGTAGCCGAATCATATGTTGTGTACCAGTATTCATTGCTACCACTGTACTCTGTACTCCGTACTGCCCTATGAAGAAGAAATCCCTTGTCGCTGGGGGCAACGGGGATAGCAGAGACAGCGGGCCGCCCTCGGATAATGCTGGCCGCTAAGGTTCGGTGGCGAAGCAGTGGATTCAGCGGAGGATTCGCAGTAGAAGGGCGAGAGGCACCTAAGAAGAGCCTGTGGCCAAGTTACTGAGGTTTGGATTAGTGGTCAGAACTTCCATTCTAGGGTGCCATTTGGGCTGCGCGGACTCGCCGGCGATTTTGTGATTGGTTCACCTGCGACTTGACATCCGCTAGAGCATCCCACCACATCTCCATTCTCGTCCTTGTTATCACCTTGCCCGTAGACAAACGAGACGACGGCTCGCACCCTGTGGAAAGCATCACGAAGGTCTATTTCGAACAATGTTCTTGTCCTAACCGTATCCTGTGGCGTGCAATGTGGGATCCCGAAGGCCTGGGCAGTCCAAGACAGCAGCAGTTGCAATGCGAATCGACGAACAATATCCCATGGCCGGCCGTCCATCATCGCAATCAATACCAGGAAAAGAACGAGGAGGTCGGCTTGTTTCTCGTGTGCATACAATCCTGCCTGATGATGTTGCATCTGCAAGTCATCCATTTCTGGCTTGCCGTCAAGATGGATGATTTCGAGACTCGGGCATTCGGTGGCCGCCCACTGCTCCGTCCGCACAATGTATGACTGTCGCTCAGGCGTCGGATCCTCATCCGTCAGCTACATGAGGATCTTCGCAGATAGTTTTCTCCTGGCAGAACGTCGTCGAGATCCGTCTCAAATACGGGCTTCTGCTGCGTACCACTATCGCCTCAGATATCAGTCGAACATGGTCTTCGTCGACCATGGGGCGCCGGCCACCGTTGGGTCTGGGTGGCCTTAAGAGGCTTAACGCGGTGGCCCGGTTGAGCTTGGCTGTGCGCCACCAGGCCCGTCCGTTCACGCTGCTCAAGACGGCCGACTTTCAGGTGAGCGATGCGCCGACTAGGCGTATCTCGTCCATACCCAACCGCTTATCTGGCAGCAGTACGATATGGACGGTGGACCAGGGTACTGACTGACCGCGACTGGGACACAACCTGCTCCGAGACGCCGCATCCAAGAGTGTCTTTCGTTTGCCCGGCTGTCCACTGCGGCGGAACAGAGGCAGGCGCCAGATATTGGGATGAATGACCAGGCAAGGCATGCATTCCACATATGTGCCGCGTTGAACGTCTTTGCGAGGAATATGGCGTACGGGCCGACTAGGACCACGCCCTTTTCATCCTCCACGGTGGCCAATGTCCACGCCCCTCCTACCACAGAGATGTTGGAGTTGGCAAGCTAAGACGGCAGGGAAGTACGGTATTCTGGAAACTGAAGCTTGTCAGAGTCAGCCTGAAGAGGTAGGCAATGAGCCGTTGCAAGTACAGGCCAATCTCAAAGCCTGCAAACTTTGAATCAAGGAAGCTAAGGTAGCGAGAGCGAATTTGGGATTGCATGTCAAATCGAAAAAAATTCCTGTGCTGAGCCATGCAGTGCAGCACCGTATACCGTACCTCGCACTCTGGGGCGATTTATCATTGCGTTGCGGTTGTCGTTCTGGTCGTTAGCCTGATATTGCCTAGGATGTGTGTAAGTTGCCTGGGCCGGAGCCTGAGCAAACATAAACGATGAAAGACATGAACGGATCTGGTTTGGCCGTTGTCCGTCGGACCGTTGATTCGGATACCACTTGTAGCTTCCAGGTTATTCTGGAAAAAGGAAGAAATGTGTCGGTGCTGAGAGCCGAGAGAGTCGATTAAGGTGCTTGTGAAAGAAGCATCTGAATTTCAGTGCAGCTGAGCGAAGGGCCCAAGACAGAGGAAAGTAAGGTGAGGCATGGAGCGAGTGCGTGGATGTGTACGAGTGTGTCGGTCTGTTCTATCACTGTCCGTCTTTGCCATCCGAGTGTTTCCAAACGGCATGTGCCATGTATCGGATGAAAGTGATATCCTCTGGGACGTGCGGCACCGTGCTGACGCAGGCTGTTTTGCCAGCGGTGCTTGTGTTTGGTAATCGAATGTTTGGAATACAGAGACAGAGGGCATAGAGTAGAGACGAAGCCGACTGGAGTGGCGCTTGAGTGGCACGAGTGGGGACGTCTGTTCAAACTCCAGAGCGCGTTCCTGTTCCTGCCGCCGCCGTCGCCGCGCTTGTGCTTCTGCGAGAGGCTCCGCGAGAGCTTCCGCCAGGGCGTACAGTGCATGGAGGTAGTGGTGTAATTAGGTGCAGCGCGCGCGCGTGTGTTTCCGGTGGAACGGTGGAAGTCGACTATGCCCACAATAGACGATGGCCTGTTCGACGGTCGAAGTCGAAGCACGGCATCCGGGAAGATAGTGGAGATTTGGTTCGAGAGGCGGCCCATGGCACGGCGTGGCAAGGGAGCTGGCAGATGGAGTCAAGGAGATGATCTGCAGTCCCCTCTCACTAAGAAGAGGTCGAGGCTCCGAACCGGCTCCAGAGAATAGGAATAAGCGTAAGGAGAAACGAGGCCAAACGGGACCCCTTGCCTCGACGCCTTACTAGAAGAGGCAAGGCTGCGGAAGGGGATGCGAGCCCCGCGGGACAAGGCCACGAGTGCCACGCTTGCCTTGACCAAGGTTCGCCGTGTGGCCGTGTACGTACCGGAACCAGGTCCACGAATTGGAAGGGAAGAACGATAGACCTGGCGACAACAGAGAAGGGGTCTTCCCGGAACATCCATGGCCCGCACCGCACCATCCGCGCATTTTCTTTTGCCTTCCACCTCCAACTCTACCTTACCTACGTGCCTACCTATGGGCTGTATCCGAAGTTCCCAGGTACGAAGTAAGGTACTGCCAAAGGTACATTGACTGTGTACTGCGGTACGTATTGATGACCGACCCTCATCGAGAGGCGATGAGTTCCCTGCCCACAAGAGGTGAGTGAACTTGTGTTTGGGGACCTGCGTTGGCCTCGTTTCTTCTGGGAACGGTACAGTCCAGTATTTGTGCCCGTTTCTGTGAATAAAGACCGGCTGGACAGTCTATGCTTTTCCAGATGCAGCTAAAGAATGGAGAAACAAGCTTCCCATAACGATACCCTTCTTGGTACCGGGCGCTGTAACTTGCATATCCACTATGAATAGGGATAGGTATGGATGTAGATGTAGTAATAGGTGCACTTTGGGAGTACCTTACTCGGACGGGCGTGGTAGGTATCGAGGTTATCCGCTTTCCTGCTGAGGTAGGTGAGTCAAGAGACAGCTATCCTGGGTACCACAGTTTTCAGGTGAAGGGGCGGTACATTCCTCTCCTATTCTGACATGAGCATGATGAGGTGGACGGGAATAGCACTGGGTGGATTGGTAGGAGCTGGGCGGTGTTAAGGTGCCACGATGCGTGGGCAGAAAAGGGAAGAAGGAGTTTGACGACAACACCCTCACTTTGCAAATTGTGCCCACTTTGATCGGTACGTACCCATCTGTTGGCCCTACCGGACGTGGGGTGAGGTGAGGTGAGATCGAAAAGTGGTGCTCTTCCCCCTTGCCCATTTACTTGCCGGGGCCCGAGACCCCACTCTTGCACCAAAAGGGGCAACAGTGGACAAGGGGAGAAGGAAGCGATCCACCTTGCTTACCTATCCGAGCTTGGTACGTATCGGAATCAGGAACGTATCTTTTCAATGGCTAAAGGAAGGAACATGGAGTGCGGTGGGTGGGCGTCGTCCAACTTCCTCGAGAGCCGCAAGCCGCAAGCCGCAGCCCACCAACTTGCCCGCATCCCGTCCGCCGCCGTTCTCCCCCACCACCGTCAAGTCCGACGACGTCAGCCAGGGCAGGGCAGGGCAGTTGTGTCTTTTTCTCCGAACTTCACCCAGCGACGTCTCGCATCCTTCTTCCAGCCCGTCAGCCTCTTCTGTCATCTCTAACTGGACATCCATCCACCATGGCTCGCGATAGATCACCAAACGTCGATATGCATTCTATCTAAATCCGATACATCAGCAACCATTGCCATTCAGATCCTTCGCCTTTTCTCTTTTAAACGCCAAAATCATGATCATCCATTGGTCCTGAAGTCCCCCCAGAAAGGAGGGGGCGTGGGGTGTGTCGGTTTGGTTTCTATCTCTGGGTTCATCTCGCTTTGGCAATGTCCATGGGGATGTCCGTCGGACAAAGCGTCGACCCAGCGCCCACCCCCACAACCACGACCACAATCGCACACAGTCCGCATCCCGCAATCCGCAATCGACCTACTCAACGTCCATTCACCCTGTTTACACGCTCTCCATCCGAGCTCTTCTCTAGGAATCCGACAGGCCTGCCGCCCGCCGAATTGCCTGACACGCCGTTCAACTCCATGTGGGGAAGCCGCATCGCGAGCTGTGTGAGGCCCAGTCTGCGCACCTAGCCTGGCTCGTATTGCGCAGTTTCACCAGACCGTTTCTACCATGGTGCCGTATGCTGCTGCCCTGCGTGGCCATGTTTCGTATCTTTGCTCTGCTTACCTTCTTCAGTACTCTCCTCATGGCATCTGGTGCAGGCTCGACGTGGTCCGGTCTCGATGTCCCTCTGATGCCAGCCCTGCTCCCAGGTTGACGCCTTTCCAGCACCCTCGATCACGCCTAACGAGGTAATCTTGGTGCTTACCCTTAACGGACCATCCTCTTCTCAAACCCGTTTCACCGCTTTCGATCGTGTTCTTGCTGTTAACGCTTCCGAGATCGAAACTCGTTTTCTTTCGACTGCCATGCGAGCTTGCTCGAAACTCGTCCCGTAAGGTGGCTCACGACTCTGCTATTGTACAGCCCTACGCTACCTACCTACCTTATACGGTAGTATATCGTGGTTTCTGGACAGGTAGACCAGGCAACACTCCTGGTATCATCACGTCATGTTTGGCCAAGGTGTACTTGACATGCCCCACCGACAGGGACACTTACTACTGCTTACTTCCAACTCGAGATATGTGCCGTCCACGAAGCCCGAGTCACGAGTAAGCGATACATGAGCCGGTACATTCTGTATCCCTCGCTCCAAGGCGCCGGCCTGGGCGTGTAGATTCTCGAGAGTGAGAAACATTGGCAAAATGTGTGAGCAAAGTTCCGCTCTGCCTTGCTTCTGCTCGAGTTGCCGCGCTGCGGCCCATTGCGGTCCTTCCTCTGTCTGTCCGGCTGCCCGTTCACTCAGCATAGATGAATTGGAGTAGGGAAGCCCGTGTGGCGGACTTGATCGCTTGCCCTGAACCAATGGGTCTCGACCGATGCGGCAAGACACTGAAAATCATCCATGAACTTCGGTCACCGAGGATTCTCAGGGCCGGACTGACGCTAGCCACCCGGGCGAGAGAAGGATGGGCCCTAGTGCGAACGAAGGGAAGGGGGTGCACGGGGGCGTGCGGATACTTGGGATGGATTCTGTCCACCCACCCCTCCCCTTTTACCTCACTCCCTCTCTTACCAGCATGTGTTGCATGTTGTGATTGATACCATTATCCATCAGCCATGACATTGACAGCTGGGTTGAGTAACTCGGGAGGTGGTCTGTTGTTGGATTGGTGTGCACACCCGTTGCCCGTCCTGTCTCGAGCCCATCTCAGTCATATAAGTTCAAGAGACTCTCCCGGCATCCAGACATACTCTTCTTTCCAGACCATCGGAACCTCATCACCCTAGGAAATCTATGTCGACAACCCTTCAAGATGGCCGACATGATGTCTTATCTCCTCTTCGGAGATCAGTCACTTGATACCCATGGATTTCTCGCCGAGTTCTGCCGTTCAGGGAATCCGAGCACCCTTGCGAAGACGTTCCTCGACCAGGCTGGCCAGGCTTTGAGGGAGGAGATCGATGGTTTGGGGAAGTTGGAACGGTCGAAGCTCCCCACGTTCCTGACGCTCCGCCAACTCAACGAGCGTTACCACGCCCAGAGCATCAAGCACCCTGGCATCGACAGTGCCCTCTTGTGTATCACCCAGTTGGCTCACTACATCGAGTACGTCGCCTGGACAACTACCCAAAGCCCTTTTTGTGACATCCTCACTAACAAGCGTGTAGCCGCCACGAAAAGGAGCCGCAAGATGTTTCTGTTCACGAACACACTTTCTTCATGGGTCTTTGCACGGGGCTTTTCGCCGCCGCTGCTATCGCCTCGACCCCTTCAGTCTCTACCTTGATACCCCTTGCCGTTCAGGTAGTCCTCATGGCCTTCCGAACCGGCACTCACGTCGGCTCGTTGGCTGAGAGGCTTAGCCCGCCGGTCGGTCAATCTGAACCCTGGACACACATCCTTCCCGGCCTGAAGGAATCCGAAGCCAAAGAGGCACTTACTAATTTCCATGAATCTAATGTAAGCCTCATTTTCAAAGAGTCCAGTCTCATCCACGGCCTCTAACCTTGCCACAGTATATCCCCGTCGCCAGCCAAGCATACGTTAGCGCTGTGTCGGCATCAAGTCTGGCGATCTCAGGACCGCCGGCTACCCTCAAGGCCCTTGAGGACCAGAATGTCTTCGGCGTCAAGCCGACGGCTATTCCCGTCTATGGACCCTACCACGCATCACACCTTCACGGTACCGCAGATATCGAGAAGATCCTGCGCCTCAACGATCCCAAAGTCGCCGAGATTCTGTCTAAGACGAAGCCTCGCTCTGCCATTATGTCAGGCACCAAGGGCATTTGGTTCGCCGAGACCGACACCAAGTCTCTCATCAAGGCCGTCACACACGAGTGCCTCATTGATGTGCTTCAATTCCAGAAGGGTATTGAGGGATGTATCGAGACTGCTCGCGACTTCGAGGGGTCAACTTGCCTCGTCATCCCCTTCGGCCCCACACACAACGCCGAGACTCTTTCCAAGTTGATCAAGGACAAGACACAGTTGGACGTTACCGTCCGCCCTGGACCTAGAATCCAGAGAGAAAGCTACAACTCTCCCATTGGCAACCACGGTTCCAGCGGAAAGTGCAAGCTGGCCATCGTTGGTATGGCCGGTCGTTTCCCCGACGCCGCCAGTCACGAGAAGCTGTGGGAGCTTCTTTCCAAGGGTCTGGATGTGCACAGGGTCGTGCCTGCGGATCGTTTCCCGGTCGCAACCCATTACGATATTACCGGCAAGGCTGTGAACACCAGTCACAGTCAATACGGTTGCTGGATCGAGAACCCGGGATACTTCGATCCTCGGTTCTTCAACATGTCTCCCCGTGAGGCTTTCCAGACCGACCCCATGCAGCGTATGGCCCTGACCACCGCCTACGAGGCCCTCGAGATGTGCGGATATGTGCCCAACAGGACACCCTCCACAAGATTGGACCGCATTGGTACCTTTTACGGCCAGACCTCCGACGATTGGCGTGAAATCAACGCCGCTCAGGAGGTCGACACCTACTACATTACTGGTGGTGTCAGAGCTTTCGGCCCCGGTCGCATCAACTACCACTTCGGCTTCAGTGGTCCTAGTTTGAACGTTGATACGGCCTGCTCATCCAGTGCCGCTGCTCTCAACGTTGCCTGCAACTCTCTGTGGGTGAAGGACTGCGACACCGCCATCGTCGGTGGTCTGTCTTGCATGACCAACCCGGATATTTTCGCAGGACTGTCGCGTGGCCAGTTCCTGTCCAAGACCGGACCCTGCGCCACTTTCGACAACGGCGCCGATGGTTACTGCCGTGCTGACGGCTGTGCCTCCGTCATTGTTAAGCGTCTGGATGATGCCGTCGCCGACAAGGATAACATCTTGGCTGTCATTTTGGGCACTGCGACCAACCACTCTGCCGATGCCATCTCCATCACCCACCCCCACGGACCTACCCAGTCCATCTTGTCGAGACACATTCTCGACGAGGCTGGTGTTGACCCTCTTGACGTTGACTACGTCGAGATGCACGGTACTGGCACCCAGGCCGGTGACGGCACTGAGATGCTTTCAGTCACCAACGTCTTCGCTCCTGCTGACCGCAAGAGAGCTGCTGACCGCCCTCTGTACCTGGGTGCTGTCAAGTCCAACATTGGACACGGAGAAGCTGCTTCTGGTGTTACTGCCCTTACCAAGGTGCTGATGATGATGAAGAAGAACGCGATTCCTCCCCACGTCGGTATCAAGAAGGAGATCAACAAGGGCTTCCCCAAGGATCTTTCAGAGCGCAACGTCAACATTGCATTCCACCTCACTCCCTTCAAGAGGAGAGATGGAAAGCCCAGACGCATCTTCGTCAACAACTTCAGTGCTGCTGGTGGTAACACTGGTCTTCTTTTGGAGGACGCACCCCTTGTGGCCCCTGCTGAGGCCGATCCTCGCAGTGTCCAGGTCGTTACTGTCACCGGCAAGTCCAAGGCTGCCATGATCCGCAACGCCGAGAGACTTGTTGGCTGGATGGAACAGAATCCCGAGACTCCTCTTGCTCACGTGGCCTATACCACCACTGCCCGTCGCATCCAGCACTACTGGCGCATGAACGTTGCTGCTTCAGACCTCCCTGAGGCCCAGCGTCTGCTCAAGGACAGACTCAAGGAGAACTTCACTCCTATCTCTACCCAGCAGCCCAAGGTTGCCTTCATGTTCACGGGACAGGGCTCTCATTATGCTGGTCTGGGCAAGGACCTGTACGCCCATTACCACGTCTTCCGCGATAGTATCGACGAGTTCAACCAGCTCGCTCAGATTCACGGCTTCCCCAGCTTCCTGTCCTTGATCGACGGTAGCGAGCCCGACGTTACCAAGCTGTCCCCAGTTGTCGTACAGCTTGGCCTCTGCTGCTTCGAGATGGCTCTCACCCGTCTCTGGGCTTCCTGGGGCATTCTGCCCAGCGCTGTCATGGGTCATTCCCTTGGCGAGTATGCTGCTCTCAACGCCGCCGGTGTCCTGTCTGCCAGCGACACCATCTACCTTGTTGGAGCTCGCGCCCAGCTCTTGGTCCAGAAGTGCACCGCCGGCACTCACGCCATGCTTGCTGTCACAGGCCCTGTGGAGGCTGTCATGGAGGCTCTTGGCGCCCAGGCTGATGCCGTCAACGTTGCTTGCATCAACGGTCCCCGCGAGACCGTCCTCAGCGGTGCCGCCGCCAAGATCTCCGAGATCTCTTCGCACCTTGGAACTGCTGGCTTCAAGTGCACTCAGCTCAAGGTGCCCTTCGCCTTCCACTCTGCCCAGGTTGATCCTATCTTGGATGACTTCGAGACTCTTGCTCGCTCCGTCAGCTTCGACATGCCGCGCGTGCCCATTATCTCGCCTCTCCTTGGCAAGATGGTAGAGCATGAGCCAGTCAACGCTGCTTACCTCCGCAACCACGCTCGTGACGCCGTCAACTTCCTTGGCGGTCTTGTCCACGCCCAGCAGTCCGGCGCTGTTGATGAGAAGACCGTTTGGCTTGAGGTCGGCCCTCACCCCGTCCTTGCCAACTTTGTCAAGTCTTCCTTCGGCATCAGCACCATCGCTGTGCCCACCCTCCGTCGCAACGAGTCTTCCTACAAGATTCTTAGCAACACTCTGTGTGCTCTTCACACTGCTGGTATCAACTTGGACTGGGATGAGTTCCACCGCGACTTCACCAACTGCACTCGCCTTCTGGACCTTCCCACCTACTCCTTCGACGAGAAGAACTACTGGCTTCAGTACACTGGTGACTGGTGTCTTACCAAGAACCGTGGTCCTTCCGCTGTCAAGGCTCCCCTCCAAATTGAGCCTGCCAGGCCCAAGCTGTCGACCACCTCTATCCACGCTGTCACCAACGAGGACGTCAAGGGCGATATTGCTCTCATCGAGACCGAGACCAACCTGTCGAGGCCCGACACCCGCCCTCTCGTTGAGGGTCACTTGTGCAACGGCGCACCCTTGTGCCCTTCTACCCTCTACGCCGATATGGCTATGACTGTTGCAGACTACGCTTACAAGATGCTTCGTCCCGACACCGAGAACATTGGATTGAACGTTGCCAACGTCGAGGTGCCCAAGACCCTCATCTTCAACGAGAAGCTTGATGCTCACATCTTGCGCACCACTGTTACTGCCAACGCAACGCTCGGCTATGCCGATGTCAGCTTCCACACTGGAGAGGGTGCCAAGAAGACCGAGCACGCCACTTGTAAGGTCGTCTACGGCAGCACTGAGCAGTGGGCCGACGAGTTCGAGCGTGTCAGCTACCTCATCAAGGGTCGCATCGATGCTCTTGAGGAGGCCGAGAGGCAAGGCAAGGCTTCCAAGATTGGCCGTGGCCTGACTTACAAGCTTTTCACTGCCCTGGTTGACTACGATACCAAGTACCAGGGTATGGAAGAGGTCATTCTTGACAGCAAGACTTGTGAAGCCACTGCCAAGGTCAGCTTCCAGACTACCGACAGAGATGGAAACTTCTTCTTCAACCCCTACTGGATTGACAGTTGTTGCCACATTTCTGGCTTCATCATCAACGGTACTGATGCCATTGACTCCCGCGAGCAAGTTTTCATCTCCCACGGATGGGGCTCTATGAGATTCACTGAGAAGCTCGACGCTACCAAGACTTACCGCTCCTACGTCCGCATGCAGCCTGTCAAGGGTACCAAGATGATGGCTGGTGATGCGTACGTCTTTGACGGCGACCGCATCATTGGTGTTGCTGGCGATGTTAAGTTCCAGTCCATCCCTCGCAAGGTCCTTAACATGGTTCTTCCTCCTCGTGGTCGTGCTGCGGCTGGTACTGCACCTGCTGCTGCGGCCCCGGCACCCAAGGCTGCTGCCCCTGCTAAGGCTGCTCCCGCCAAGGAGAAGAGCGGCAAGGAGAAGGCTTCCAAGCAGGTCACTGCTAGCAACCTCAAGGCCGTCAACGCCAAGCTCTCCAAGCGCTCCGTCGTCCAAGATGTGTTTGACATCCTGGCGAAGGAAGTCGGTGTTACCCAAGATGAACTTGCTGACAACATCGCCTTCACTGATCTTGGCTGTGACTCACTGATGGCTTTGACCGTCTCCGGCAGAATGCGCGAGGAGCTTGATATCGACATTGACTCTCACGCTTTCGTCGAGTATCCCACCATCGGAGCATTCAAGGTCTTCCTTGGTCAGTTCGAGAGCCCGGACCGAAAGGACAGTTACGTCCAGGACTCTGGTGACTCTAGCGGCTCTGTCTCCGAGACTCCCGAGCTTGAGTCTGATTCCAACGTCACTACTCCCTACGAGGAGAGCGACCGATCAGTCAAGGGCGATGCTGAGGAGGAGGACTGTGATGATCTTCAGAACATCCTTCGCGAAACTATTGCCACCGAGATGGGTGTCGAGGTTGAGGAGATTATCGCCGCTCCTGACTTGGCTGCTCTGGGCATGGATTCTCTGATGAGTTTGTCAATCCTCGGCACTCTCCGTGAGAAGTCTGGCCAGGACATCCCCAACGATCTCTTCGTCACAAACCCCTCTCTCTTGGAGGTTGAGAAGGCTCTTGGCATTGGCCCAAAGCCGAAGGCCGCCGCCGCACCCAAGCCTGCAAAGCCCGCTCCTGTCTCTCGGCGGGAGAAGGTGGAGCCTACCAGAGAGATTAACACTCACCCTGGTAACACCACCGCCTCCATCACCAAGCCCCCTCCACCAAGAGAGATCATCGACAACTACCCTCACCGCAAGGCGACTTCCATCCTTCTTCAAGGTAGCACCCGCACTGCCACCAAGAACCTTTGGATGGTTCCCGACGGCAGTGGTTGCGCGACTTCCTATACTGAGATCAGCCAGGTCTCCAGCCAGTGGGCCGTCTGGGGTCTCTTCTCCCCTTTCATGAAGACCCCTGAGGAATACAAGTGCGGTGTCTACGGCATGGCCTCCAAGTTCATCGAAGCCATGAAAGCAAGACAACCGAAAGGTCCCTACTCCTTGGCCGGCTGGTCTGCGGGCGGTGTCATCGCCTACGAGATTGTCAACCAGCTCACCAAGGCCGGCGAGAGTGTCGAGAACCTCATCATTATCGATGCTCCCTGCCCCATCACCATTGAGCCTCTCCCCAAGAGTCTCCACGCCTGGTTCGCCTCCATCGGCCTGCTCGGCGAGGGTGACGACGACAACAAAAAGATTCCCTCATGGCTCCTTCCTCATTTCGCCGCCAGTGTTACCGCCCTCAGCAACTACACTGCGGAGCCCATCCCCAAGGACAAGTGCCCCAACGTCATGGCCATCTGGTGCGAGGACGGTGTCTGCCACTTGCCATCCGACCCCCGCCCTGACCCCTACCCCACGGGTCACGCACTCTTCCTTCTGGACAACAGAACCGACTTTGGTGCCAACCGTTGGGATGAGTACCTGGACATCAACAAGTTCAGGACCAGGCACATGCCTGGCAACCACTTCTCCATGATGCATGGCGATTATGTAAGTCTACAGTCCCCTACCTCACATCCATTCATCAACTAACCACCTCTCCCAGGCCAAACAACTTGGACAGTTCATTCGTGAAGCGGTTTGCGAGTAAGGAACTACATAGCGAGCATGAGCATACGCGCATTGCAGGGTATAGAAGGGACACAGGACATTACATGACGACGCGAGCATGATATGAGACTGACTTTGTTTTTCCTTTTACTACATTGTCCATTTTCTTCTTGTCATCATTTTCTTTTTTCTGTCTTAACATTTGATATCCGCTCCCTGTACAAGTGCGACCGGCATACATCTACGAATCATTCCTTATTTACGTCGATGGGAAGGGACAACTGGGAGGTTGGGAAATGGAAGAAGGGGAGGGAGGATACTTACACTACGAGGGGCGTAACTGTCTCATAATGCTCGGCTTTTTCCTTGTCTGTCACGATCTTCTTTCTTGTCTTTCCTTACAACCACAACATGGCTTTCGGTGTTTAGTGTTTTTTTATCGATTTTTCGAACGGTCCATAGATTGGTACGCCACAGCCGTACTCACCCACAAGATAGCAGTACTTTGAGTTTAATACACAAAGTCAAAATAACTTGCGCATATGCTTTGCAAAGTGAATGAATCCTTACTGACTTGGAAAGTCCTTGCCCATCTCGTCCCATTTTTTGACATGAAATTACCAGTCTTGTCAGAATTCGTCTCATCCCAACTTCGCACTCTTAATTTTTCGCTGCGAGTTCCCCGTCACAAGGGTTCTCCAATGTTCCAGAGGTTCAAGCAGAGAGAGGTGCGGGTTGTAGGGTGGTCTTGATGCGGCCATCAGTTCGCGCATCGTGTATTCCTTGCTTTTCGCGTTAGATACTTGCGATGATGGGGGTGCGTCCCCTGCTTCCGATTCCACGTTCCCGAGTTCTTTACAAGTTTTCATTTTGCCTTTCGTCCCGCCCTACAAATACTTCCTATCATTCTTCAAGGGACCATGAATATCAGTTTAGTCTCTCCATCTTCTGCGTGCTTGTACTTTGACAAGGAGATGTTCTTTTTGCACACACCCGTTCCTGTTCAATTTTAGCTATCGGACTTTTTTTCTGTCAAAAGCAAACCCCTCCTCGTCGATTTCGACGACGGCCTTCAAGATATATACCCATACTTTCGATTCACCCCCATCGAATGCTCCTCTAGATGGGATCATCCACGATGCTCAACCGGACCCTTGGAAGTATTCCTTTCTCAACCAAGAACCCACCTCCATCATCCGCATCACCCACCTTCCCTTGTCCACACATACCGACCTCCCTCTCCGATCCCTTTACGCATTGTGGCATCTCCAACTCTTTCCCCCCCAGAATGCCATACACGGCAATCATCTCGTCTCGTGCATAGAAAGAAAAGAACAGCTGACACAACCATGTCCTTGCCCTCATCCCGATTCGTAGATCCCAGGTTTCCTCCGTGAAGATCCTCGCCCGTCCCAATTACCCAAATCTGTTCTTTCGCTCATTCTCTATCCGCGCCCCTCATACGTCCCCCCACCCGCCAACGTCGGCACACGTAAAACGAAAGGCAAAGCGATAACCGGGCGATGCGATTACGGCGACAAACTTTGAACAACGGCTTATCCCCCCCGCGAGACGTATTTGTGAGACGGAGCGATAAATTCAGGCCACATCCATCGTCTGGTCAGAGATTTTCCGATTTCGATCGAGTAGCTGTCGCGATCGTCTGCTGGACGAAACCCGCTTCGTATCTGTTCGTATCATTCGCAGGCTGCGAATCCCACTCGGGAGACAAGACAAGGGCACTTCTCTACCAGCTCAGGAGTCACAGTCCCGATGAACCCCGAATCCCGCGCCTGGGTTGTAGACGACATCTGCAGGATACGAAAACCGGATAACGTGATAATGTCCTGTGAACCAGATGAAAAGAAGCAAAGTTACCTGGAAACCGGAGAGTGCAACCATTCTAAGATCTCGCTGTATGTGTTTTCGAGACATTGCTCCTCATCAAAAGTAGCACGCGGTCGCGGTGGTGATGGCATTGCCGGGAGACATCTTCGACTCCGGTTCCGTCTCAGGGCCGAGTGCCAACTACTCAATAAGTGTCTCGCGAAGTAACATCGAGATCTTAATTTGCCAATACAATTACGTCTTCCAAGAAAGCATCCCACCGCTTCTGAGCGCTCGATATCAATATCCTAATCAACAAGCTGGTGTAAACATACCTTCAGTCTTCTTTGGTTCTTGCAACTCGCTCGCCATTGTCGACTCCGACTCTGAATCCATGCTACAGTATCCGGCAAAGTGGTCGAAATGACCACGGCCACATTTCAATGTTCCATGTACTCTTGGTACATTGGCACTACATCTGCCACTCTGTACCCGATACCACAAGACGGTCTCAAATGCCACATGACTGCCCCTTTCCTTCCCCCTCGACTCTGTCCCGGATTCCCTCCCGAGTCAATGTTGAGCGAGACCTGGGCGTTCCAAATTTCCCTCTGACCATTGACCCTACCCTCCCTCCTCTTCTCCTTCTTCACTGCCGGAGTTAGTGTTCTGGATCAAGGACCGTGGTGCCGCTGGCCACCCGCGTCTGTCTCAGGAGCCTTTAGAGTGTCGACACTGTCTTGGAAGGGATACCACGTGCATATCCGCCAGGCACATGACCACGCGTATGCGCGCGCGTTTGTAAGCATACATATATCTCTCCGGGGTCTCTGAAGAACAGAACCGCACCGCGAGAAACAGTGATCTTCACTACAGCCTGCTGCAGTCTCTTGCTGTACTAGATGGACACTCCTACATTGTGTCTTGTTTCGTCATCTCGCCATAACATATACATGGTACGGAGTACAATCATTACATAGACCTAAACCTGTTGAGTGAGACAGGTCAGACTATAGCCCCGGCCTCGCCTGCATCTTGCATTTTCGCAGGGAGCAGCAAGTGTGGGTGATTGAGAGATCCCCTCAGGACGTAGCTGTCATCTGGCGTCGCAACAACTGATGCGGGCGCGAAGACAGGCATCAGTAGCGACGAGGGCAAGGCCATCGGGCGTCTACAGAAACCACCGGCCTAGCCGTGTATGAATACTTTGCGCATCGGAACCTGCATCGATTATCTTCCGCTCGTACCCGTCGACTTCCGCCTGCATGTACAATCTGCACTATCGTCCTCGTGGGGTCTTGAAAGGAACACTGCTCCTGTCCAAGAGGGGGGTTGCGATTCATCCAAGCGCCCGCCTTCAGCGAGCGGCAACATCGACGTCGCATTTGCCGGGTCGATCATATCCGCCCACATGGAGGCCCTTCCATGCGGCTCCCCGTCGGTGAGCACCCACTGAGATGAACACAAGCTCAGTTCAGCACCGCATGGTCATCAACAGCGCGTATCCCGTCAAACGCTTCCATGATCCTTTTCAAGAACTCATTTTTGGGGTCTGGATATTTGCATTGTGTTCGACAGCATCTCCAGGCTGCGGGTAGAAAGAGCAATCTCATTTCTCGTCATATGGTTCCTTGTACGACATGAGAGGGGCTTCGAAAGCACCATGAGGCCAGTCAATGACCAGTGCAATCAGTAAAAATCCATGTAAATTGCCACAAAAGTGTCGGTAAGTCGCCATCTCGAGTCCTGTGACCGGGACTATTGACTGTTGTATCACATCTCTGGGATACGAGAGTTCCGGCTGGAGGGACCTGGGGAGATAACTACGTTGGTGCAGCAGAGAAAGAAAGCGACCCTTGGTACACCAGTTCCCTTTACTTCACGAGGGCGCTACCGAATGGATGGTAGAGGCGTGGAAGCGGCACGGGTCGCTGTCTGGTGCTATGTAACCGACACTCGTCGGTCTTGATCCAATGCATTCCCCCATACCGACGCAACTAGTGCATCGTGGGATGGCCAGTCGCACCGCAAGCTGCGAGTGCTGTCGCTCCCTTTCGCACGTAAATGAGATGGCAAGATAGCCTTAGGCCCCATCGCTTCGCCAAATGTCCTCGTCATGACGCCTACATCCGGCGCTGCCGCACCAGCATCGCGGAGAAGATGGGGCCCTAATATCGCGTCTCGATTGAAGCTCGCGGTTGGTCTAGAGACAGAATAGGTTCTCTCGGCATGTCTTATTCTCGTCTTTGACTTCAAGACTCTGACATCGGAACCTACACGGAACGTATGCGGTGGTCGCACTGCCGTACAATTCTGTGAAGTTTTGGAGCGGCAAGCCGTTTGTGTATCGTTCAGCGAGACAAGGTCCAGTCAAGTCTCCGATTGAAAACCGCAGCCGATCCATGGGGCAATGTGGTGATTATGTGTCAATTGCGAAGAGACCCAAGCAATATTGAGAAATCGACATGCTGGTTCGCAAATCGTATGTTGGCTCGGTGGTGAGTTCGACGGTACCCTCCCCGAGTGAGTGCAAAGATTAATGTTCTGACCGGCTGAGCATTGGCAGGTAGGGGCTACGGATAGCTGCTTGTTAGCGGCTGCCTCACGCTTGCCTTTGTTCTCATACGCCGTGTTCGCAACACTCGAGATGAGGATCACAAACTAAAGAAGCCTCCTTGCCTCGTAAATTTGACGGAGGCCACGCGAAAGGGTAAGGCTCCTAGAGCGCGTGGCAATACATCGTATTCCGCTGGAAGAAATAATCTGAAAGCATGCTGCCGCCATACGAGGAAGAACAGGATATCGCCTTCGTCGTTTCTTTTGACCTTGCATGCCTAAGCGCACCCGAAGGCCTTAGTACGCTCGGTGGAGGATACTGAAATAAACGGCGATACGGTGAAAGCGCTAGCTTGGGGCCGGACGGGAGCGTTTAGTCGGCCGCTTCTGTGCTCGGAGTTGGCTGGACAGCGATGAGTGAGATGGGAACATCACGTGTCTGGTGAACCTTCTTGACTGACTTGGTTCGCACCATCGCTGTAGTCTGTTCGTCTGTGCCGTCCGGGTGCCCATTGTTGTTGATGGTCGAAACCATAGGAACGCGGAGCCAGGATGACTATATCCTTGGAACCACTGGGAGTCCTATTTCCAGCCACACCAGCCTTTTTGGGCCTCGAATAGGGAGTTCGAGAACACGCCCGTCGCAGTTGCTGTGCGGCCGAAGATAATGTGCCCGAACGCTTACCGTCGTCTGGAAACGCGACGCTTCTCAGTGCGCTGATCCCTGGGTAGGATCAAAGGCGGGTGAAAATGAGATCCCTTCCGAGGCCCAGAGACGATATCGGCCAGTTACTGGTGCTTACCGCTATACAGCGCAGTAGCATAACAAATGTTTCGTGTAACCGTCATCAAACTCCACATGCGGATCTGCGGCGGCTTGCATCTCGTCTGGTTGCGCGACCTAGACACTCGAGCTGTTGGGCGTAAATAACGAATAATCAGCCAATAGTGAAAGTCCGGTACGCTAAAGCCTGCTGGAATAAGCAACAATTGTGCCTAGAGGACGATTGATTTGAAGGGATGAGCCATCATCCAGTCGGATCTTTCTTTTCGGCGCCGATATCGTTGTTGTCAGTGTTTTGAACACAGACACCATCAATCAAACAGGCCGGTAATAA